TAATCAAACTAAACAAATCCAAAAGATTCTCCTTTATCAATTCTAGTCTCATACTCAAATCCAAATTCCCTTTATCCTTCCTTCCTCCTTAAATACATAACAATTAAACTAAACAGATCCAAAAGATTCTCCTTTATCCATTTTATTGACCAATACAATCCAACTATTCCCTTCAACCAATAGCCCTAATGTCTTTTATTTTGGTGCTTCCATTGTTTTGACTCTCCCAGACATCTTTTAATATCAAAGAAATTTATTGGCAATTCTAAGAAGGTATCTTCGCCTCATCGTCCTAATACTATATCCACTTTGCAAATGCTTTTCTTTTTTTTTTAATAAGAAACGTAACTTTCAAATCTTTACAACTCTTTTTCCTCACTTGTCCCAAAATAAACCTCATATTTGGTAGCTCAATCATTATCTCCAATCCAAATAATGACAAAAACTCTTTAAATGAAAAATTGAATTCTAGTCTCATACTATAATCCAAAATCCATTTATCCTAACAAAGTATCTTCCTTCCTCCTTAAATACAAAACAATTAAACTTAACAAATCCAAAAAATTCTCCTTTATCCATTTTATTGACCAATACAACTATTCCCCGGCTCCAATAGCCTAAATGTCTTTTATTTTGGTGCTTCCATTGTTTCAACACCCTAGAACATTTTATTATCAAGGAAACTTATTGGCAATTCAAAGAAAGTATATTCGTCCTATCATCTTAATACCCTATCTTCTTAGCACAACTTTACAACCATTTTTCCTCACTTGTCCAAAGATAAACCTAATCATTTGGCAATTCAAAGAAAGTATATTCGTTCTATCATCTTAATACTCTATCCTCTTAGCACAACTTTACAACCCTTTTTCCTCACTTGTCCAAAGATAAACCTTATCATTTGGTAGCTAAATTGTTCTCCAATCCAAAGAACGACAAGAGTTCTTTAAACAAATTGAATTCTAGTCTCATACTTTAATCCAAAATCCCTTTAGCCGAACAAAGAATCTCCCTTCCTCCTTAGATACATAACAATTAAACTAAACAAATCCAAAAGATTCTCCTTTTATCCATTTTATTGACCAATACAATCCAACTATTTCTTGCCACCAATAGCCCTAATGTCTTTATCCCATCATCTTAATACTCTATCCTCTTTACACAATTTTACAACCATTTTTCCTCACTTAATGTCTTTATCCCGTCATCTTAATACTCTATCCTCTTTACACAACTTTACAACCATTTTTCCTCACTTGTCTCAAGATAAACCTCATCATTTGGTAGCTGAATCGTTATCTCCAATCCAAAGAACGACAATAGGTCTTTTAAACAACAAAATGAATTATAGTCTCATACTTATCCAAAATCCCTTTATCCTAACAAAGTATATTCCTTCCTCCTTAAATACATAACAATTAAACTCAAGAAATCCAAAAGATTAACCAATATAATCCAACTATTCCCAGCCACCAATAGCCCTAATGTCTTTTATTTTGTTGCTTCCATTGTTTCAACTCTCTCATAATTTTATTATCAAAGAAATTTATTTGGCAATTCTAAGAAAGTATCTTCGTCCCATAATCTTAATACTTTATCCAATTTGCAAATCTGTCCAACCCTTTTCCTTACTTGTCCCAAAATAAACCTTATTATTTGGTAGCTCAATCATTATCTCCAATCCAAAAAATGACAAGAAATCTTTAGACAAAAAATTGAATTCTGGTTCCATACTTTAATCCAAAATCCCTTTATCCTAACAAAGTATCTTCCTTCCTTCTTAAATACATAATAATTGGATTCCACAAATGCGAAGGTTGTCCTTTATCCCAGCTTATTGACCAATACACAATCACTATTTTTTGCCACCAATAGTCCTTTTATCTTTTATTCAAGTGCTTCCATTGAAACTGATCCTCAAATATCTTAACTTTTCACACAAATTTATATTACTTCCAAACTTCTTATGGCACATGCCATCTTATTCCAAGACAAACTTTTCCAATAATTTTTCACTTTTTAATTTTAGTACCGTCTGTTTCAATACATAGTTTTCCACCTGACTACACATATCATTCTCCTTTAGAAGATTATCCTTTATCCATCCATCTTATTGACCAATACAATTCAACTATTCTCTACCACCAATATCCCTTATATCTTCCATTCAAGTGCTTCCATAGGTTAAAATTCCCTAAAACCACTTTTCATTATCCCTCAATTGTTCCTTTGACTTACAAGCTTTTCACCACTCTTCCAAAATTTTGCATAACAAAAATCATATTCTAGTAAACCTCAAATTTAATTTGTCTAATTAAATACATACTCCTTCCACCACATTCCTCCTTTAAGACAAAATGTCAATGATTACGAGCAAGTGTTTGTTTCATCACAACAATAGTTCATCAATTTTGCCGATCTATACAACCCTTTCTCCTCCCACACCTAAAATCAAACCTGAATACTTTGACAGTCATTTATTATTTCAAAACCAAATACAAAAAATTCTTAAGAAAAAATTGCAGTCGTCTCATTCTTTAGTCCAAAATCTTTTTATCCTAACAAAGTATCTTTCTCCCTCCTTAAATACCAAATCATACAACAACTTGCACACAAATCCAAAATGCTGTCTTTATCCATCTAATTGACCATTATAATCCAACTATTCTTTAGGAACAATAGATGTAACATCTTTTATTCTAGTGCTTTCATTGTTTAAGATTCCCTTGAACCTCCTTTCCATCATCCCTCAATTGCCCCTTTTAGACTTACGAATCTCTGTGCCACTCAGGTACAAAATTTTGTAGAACTAGAAATAATATACTAACGAATCTTCTATTCGAACAAACTTTATGTCCAAGCAAAATCCTCGACTCTAGTAACCAAATGGAAGTGATTCACATTTGTCTTTAACTTTTCCCACAAAAATATAATATTATTTCTTATAGCATATGTCATCTTATTCCAAAATCAACTTCTCCAACAATTCTTCACAATCTTTAATGTTATCTTTTCCCCATTTCACTTTTCGAGGAAAAATATCAATAATTTTAAGAAACTATCGTTGTGTAGTCATCTTATAACTTCATCCACTTTGCAAATCTTTACTTTTCCCTCAACGCCTGTGAAACAAACCTTAATACTTGGTAGCTCGATCATTCTGTCTAATCCAAATAACAAAATTCTTATCTTCTTCTAAAAACATGATCTCTTTACAAAAAAACTTGTGATCTCATCTCATTCTTTAATTTAATCCAAAATTCCTTTATCCCAACAAATAACCTTTACCTCCATAAATGCATAACAAACAACAATAAATCTAGGATATTATCCTTTATCCATCTTATTTTATTGACCAATACAACCCAAATTTTCTCCAACAACAGGCTCTTATTCAAATACTTCCATTGGCTAAAATTCCCTAATACCTCTTTTCGGCATCCCTCAATTGTTCCTTTAGATTTACGAGCTTCTTCACCACTTGTCCAAAATTATTTAAAATTGAATATCATAGGCTAGTGGATCTCTAATTTGAACATACTTTATGCCCAAGAAAAATCTTCAACAACGACAACCAAATAGAAGAAATTCACAGTTATCTTAACTTTCTCTACAAATCTATAACATTTACAAGCTTCTTACAGGATATGTCATCTTATTCAAAAACTAACTTCACCAAGAATTATAATTCTTCAGTTTTAACATGTCTATTCCAATACAACGTCCTTCCACCACATTACATGTAAACCTTAGTTCTTGGTATCTTAATCGTTATGTCCAATCCAAATAACTTCACCAAGCTTCTTATAGCATATGTCATCTTATTCCAAAATCAACTTCTCCAAGAATTCTTCGCTCTACGGTTTTATAGCCCTCTACCATACTACATGTATCTTTTTCCTCTTCAAGTACATAATCCTTAATGTTTATCTTTACATTTCATTCTTCAAGGCAAAATACCAAATATTCTAAGAGAGTATCTTTATTGAATCATCTAAAACTTCATCTACTTTGCCAACCAATCTTTACAACCCTATTTCCTCACTATTCACAAATCAAACCTTAATACTTGATTCACAGTTGTCTGACTTAACTTTCCGCCACAAATCCAGAACATTCTCAAGCTTCTTATGGCATATGTCATCTTATTCGAAAATCCATTGCTCCAAGAATTCTTCTTTCTACGGTTTTATAGCCCTCTACCACACTACATAACTTTCCGCCACAAATCCAGAACATTCTCAAGCTTCTTATGGCATATGTCATCTTATTCGAAAATCCATTTCTCCAAGAATTCTTCTTTCTACGGTTTTATAGCCCTCTACCACACTACATGTATCTTTTTCCTCTACTCGTCGTCCCTCAACTATTACTTTTATATATCGAGTAGCTTATACCCAGGAGGTCACTAGTGTTATTATTTCTCCACCACCTGTCCACAAACTAATAAAACTCCAAATAACATGCCATATTTAAATTCTTGCAACATGATTGACCTTACTTTTACCTTGATGCACTCCCATTATTTGACCTTCAATTTCCTTCGATGATATTTCTACCTTCTTAAAACCACAAATGACTTGTTGACACCTACCGTAGCCTCCAATTTATTTACGAAATGCTTTTGTCCCATAGAACAAAAAACTCATAAATGCCTCATATATGTTTGGACCACTTAGTCTCTAATGGAAAAAATTAGGGTTCAATGCTCGATTTCAAACTACCCAAAAATCCAAAGATATTGTATTGTTGCATCATATTTTCATTTTTCTTAATTATGAACCTCTCTCAGGTTTAACATTCATAATAATTAGTTATTGTAATTTAATCTTTTAACCTCTATATAAAAGAATGGAATCTATAGCACAAAAAACATAAAAAAAGGAAAAGAAAAATAAAGATACAATAAAGATTAAACTTATAAAGACTAAAAACAAATACCACCAAATTTAAACAAAAATTGAAATATTTATAAAGATTATGTTGTGTGGGAACTTCACCTTATTAGGACTGCAACAATGCCAAAAATGCACTTGAGAAGGTCGCACGCATGTTGGAATCCTCCACAGAAGGCAACTAGAATTGCCTACATAAAAGGAATAAATTATAATGGATTGAAGGAATTATAAACATTTCAATCAACGTGTCTTGATGGATTAAAAAAAAATTAATTGGTAAAGTATCCTTTACCAAAATACCATAGAAATGTTGAAAATGAAAATTAATTATTTCCATATTGATAATATAGTATGAGGAATTTAAAACAGTGGTAATTCAGTGATTTTCTGAATGAGAAATCAGTATGAACTTCATACCGTATTTTGCTTGAAAGAAACGGGATGGTAGGAATTTTTTCACGTTGAGAAATTAGCTCAATATACGACCAGGTCCCACGTCTCTGTCAAATCCATCTCAATCCTAATGGGTAATACGAAATGTTTCAATTCCAACCTCCAATTCATCACCCAATTTCAGAAATAAAATCCTCCTCTGCATCCTCCTCTGTTGTGAACCAAAAACAACACGCATCCTGGTAATTCACATCAAAACACAGTACATAAAACTCGAATTCCCAATCGATGAGTTAACATTAACATCATCTAATAAAATTTTAGAAACGAACATTACATGACACATGACGAACTCCGTTGTTACACACGATAACAATGCCCCTATGCCAAGAGCCAAGAAAGCCGTGTCTTCTAAACTCCTCACCTGCCATGTTTCACGTTCCTAACGTTAATAAAATACGAAAAAACGAAGAGTACTGCTTGACAATAAAACCCTAATCCGTTTCCACAGCACGAAAAGAAAAAAGAGAAAAAAGAGAAAAAAGAAAACCCTAATTAACCTCAGAAGTTCTCAATTGACCCGAGATAAACACACAGAAGGAAAAGAGAAAACAAAACAGATAAATAAAGAATCACTGAGAGAATGCGTTGATTAAGATGACAAAAAAGAAAAAATTAATGGCATCACAGCGGAAAACAAACAAAAGAGAAACAATCGGAACAGCCGGGCGGACCCTTGAATTTTCAATCCAATCCCATCCCAAAACAATAAAAGGCCGAAACGAAGTTGTATTACCTCTACTTTTTCACCAACGAGACGAGAAGGCTTCTTCCAGTTCTGCGCTGCGCTCTCTTTGACTGGAAAGGATCTAGGGTTTGCAAAGTCGCAACGAACCATCAAAAGGGCAGAGGCCGCTGGCGCTGAAGTTGATGGAAGGCTCTGGAGAAGAAGAAGAGAGTGCGAGTGAGGAATAGAATATATAGGACCGGGCCAAGCCGGAGGCGACAGCGAATGACATCCAGTCATTCGGTGGAAATCCGCGGCCGGCGAGACAGGTGGCGGTTAAGCTTCCGACTGAGATACCGAGTGATGGCGGGAAAACGAAACGACTGTGAAGTGAAGATTGTTCAACTAAGAATCGACCGTTGAAGACGAGCGTCTGATGATACTGACGTAACGGCTAATTAATTAGTTGATCTCGTGACGTTTCTTCCGTGATTTCAGGGTTTTTTTTATTGTAATAAATGAAAAACGATCTCAAATAATAATATAACTACTGTTTTTTTCCGTACTAAATCGGAAAACTATAATTTTTCTTATATTGGGACGTGAAATTAAACTCCTGACTTTCACTACTGAATATATATTACAATCGAATTAAATCCTTATCAAACACAAAATTTACAACTTCAAGATTTTTGTTTAGTATATCATGTGGGGCTAGAGATTGAACTCACAACTTATTGATTGGAGATATATACTAATTATTTATTGAGTCGCTTTCACATAATTTCAAAATTATATTAAATAGTTCCGAAATTTAAATAACTAATTAGATAACAACTCTTAGAGATAGATTAAAGTTGTAATTTAAATCCAACTTTATTTACTTCACGGGCATCAAAGTACAAACTGAGGATCCTACAAATTTATAATTATTTTGATTTTAATAAACTGAGATAATTTTGAAACTATTAATCGTAATTGGTATAGTTACGTTCGCCTATCCCAGATGTGGAGGTTCTGGGCCTTGGTGCCGACGACCGGCCCAGATGTGAAGGTTTTGGGCCCATAACTTCACACGGCCCATTCGGCTAATAAAGGCTTGCAATATACAGCCTCAGTGATACATGCAGGTCTTTATGGAACAGAGCCCAAAGCCCAAGCCCAAGCCCAAGTGAAAATTGGGCCCAAAAAACTGTCTGACACCTCCAATATAAGCTAACGAGTTATTCCGTGAGGTTTTGTCTCTAGGGTTTCATCAACACCGCGGCAGGAAGCTTTGCATCGCAGCGGCCATGGTTCTCAAGTTCGTCAATTTCTTATCTCTACTTTCTTGTCTTTCTAGATCCGATTGTTGGTTCCATTACATATCGCCTGGATTCATTTCATATGTTTTCCTGTTTATTTTGTTGTTTCATTATCGCTTCTGCACGTTCATCGTTAATGCTAGCGAAAACTAGGGTTATTCGTGTGCTTGGATGGGAGGAACAGTTTTCGACTTGATAATCTTCCATTTGGGAAGCTCAAAATATTAAACGAAGTTCACTGTGGTTTTAAAGAAAATCTGTAATTACCTTATTTATGAAGCGAATCGCCGTTGTGTCTGTCTCTTGAGTTATTGTCTTGATTAGAATGGCTAACTTATGAATGGGCATCTGTTTTGTTCTATATACTGGTTGAGAGGAAGGATTTATGACGGGGTCGGTATAGACGGGGAATTGTTAGCTTCTTGGACCCCCTTTTTTCTTTAATGTATTGCTTCAACAAGTAGGTGCTTAGGATAATCTTATCATGGTTATTTGTGAAACTAAGATCGTAAGCTTCAGTATTCTCGTGCTTGATCTTGGTCATGGACTCTCTATGTGTGGCAAAGAAGTACACGAGCCAATATGGTGTTTTTTTTGAGATATGAATTCTTCCTCTAATAGTTTGATGCTGGAATTTCAGGACTGAACTTTGCCGATTCAGTGGTGCCAAGATATATCCTGGGAGGGGCATCAGATTTGTCCGGGCTGATTCTCAGGTGATTGCCATTTTTTATATAACTTATGATATAAGCTGATTAATCTCATTACATCATAATTATAGAGAACTCTGTAAATACTTTGTTCTTCTCTAATTAATCCCAACCTCTGTTGGGATTTGGAGCTTTAATATTCTGCTTATTTGAATCATTCTTAACATCTTTTCCCTTATTTTCGTGATTTCCTTTGTTAATCTGTTAGGTGTTCCTCTTTGCCAACTCTAAATGCAAGAGGTACTTTCACAATCGGCTGAAGCCATCGAAGCTGACCTGGACAGCTATGTACAGGAAGCAGCATAAGAAGGTAAGATTGAAATTGTCTTTAAATCATTTTTTCTCTTAGCAACATCATTTTTTACATATTCATTTTAATGATCATTTAGTGACTATTGTCTTTAAATACCAAATAGAAACCCCGTCACGTGAATAACAGATCTCTTCATGCAAGCTTTGATTCCACGCAAAATTGTTAAATATTGAAACAATCTTGTAAGTTGAGTTTCAATTATTCCGGTTTCTAATTTCTACTGGTGTGGTCTAATGTTGTATTAGTTCTACCACAGATCAGTTTTGCAAATACAAGTCACATTACTCATTATTTTCTATGTGTTGCAATTAATAAAAATAACTAGATCTAAGTCTATAGTTTAGAATTTAAGATTAATGGTGATTTAAAAGGTCGTATCTAGTCAGGCATGTGTATAACAGATTTCTAGCACTATGTTTATAGATTAATAGTCTGTGTTTTAAGTATTATTGATCAAAATGATTTCTACGTTTTCCATTGTCAAGAAGGTAGTAAAGTAAATAAATCATCCCTCTCCGATGATCTTGTGTCGTTTTCCTTCGACTGTAGTTTTGCAGTTTTGCTGTGGGTATTGACCTGACCTTTATCCATCTTCTTTTGACATGCATAGGATATTGCCCAAGAGGCTGTAAAGAAGAGGAGACGTGCGACCAGGAAGCCGTACTCTAGGTCCATTGTTGGTGCAACATTGGAAGTCATCCAGAAGAAGAGAGCCGAAAAGCCAGAAGTGCGTGATGCTGCTAGAGAAGCTGCTCTGCGGTGCGTTATCTCATGAATGACTGAACTAGAATAGAAATGTTTTATCTCAAGCATACGAATTTATACTGAATCCATTGATTTTGAATTGCATTGCAGTGAGATTAAGGAAAGGATTAAGAAAACCAAGGACGAGAAGAAGGCAAAGAAGGCAGAAGTGTTGGCCAAGTCACAGAAGGCACCAGGTAAGGGTAGCGTTCCCAAGGGAGCAATGCCCAAGGGTCCAAAACTCGGAGGTGGTGGTGGAAAGCGTTGATCATCTCCTGTTTTGTTTTGTTATTTAAATTCTCAGGTTTGGTAGATAGGACATGTTATAATTTTGAGTTATTTTTACGTGTTAAGAGAATTCGTGGGTATTAATTGCTAAACTTATTGTGCACTTAGTTGTATTTGGAAAAGTCTTATAATCGAGCTATTCAGTTCCCTTCTGGTTTTTGACCTCTTCCACTTCAAACTCCTCTCCTTTTTGTGCCCCATATTTGTGTACTGCTGCGAAATCATGCCTTGTTTGCAATGCATTAATTCGTTTAGTTTGCATTTTTTTTAAAAGAGTGTCTTTTGGGGATAATCGGTTTAGAATCACCTTTGGGGATGATCAATTTTAAAGTGATTTTTTCAAAAATTATTTCAATCAATTTGATTATCGTAGAATTGTTTTTAATTTGTTACTGTATATTCTAGATTTAAAAATGTATGTCTTTTGTTCAACCAAAATCTTAAACCAAAACACTCTAAGCATTCTTTCTATACAGGAATACATTGGATGTCAATGGGGCCTACTATTTCAACTGTGGTCTATAATTTATTTATGGAGTACTTTATAAAACTCACATCCAAGTACCTATGATCTTAATTTATTTATATCGTTGAATCTAGAAGTTTAGGATATGTTTGGTGTTTCATCTTATATCAATACATCATGTTTTAAAAGACAAATCAGTGGGACATGTATGTATAATTTTAACAACAAATTGGAGAGGTGAGAATTTGAACTTTTAACTTAAAAGGAATGGAGTAAATTCCAATTATCTAGCTAGGCATATCTTATGCTACATTGCACTTGCTATTAGCTTTGTATGAATAGCTAGGCATATCTTATGCTACATTGCACTTGCTATTAGCTTTGTATGAATAAAAATGAGGAAAATGCTTTGAAGGAAGAAATGTGATCTAACTGTTTATTTTTATTTATTTTAATGATCAAATCATGAGTATAGTTCAATGTATAAACATCTAGTTCCAGGGTGAGCTTCATGCATTTTTTTTAGTACAATAATTTAGAGAGGTGGGGATTGAGCTTCCAATCTGGAGGGAAGGAATATATGCTAATTATGACTGAACTATACTTATATTGACGGGGTAGCTTCATGCCAAAATTTTAATCACTTTAATTTGATTTTTATGCTAATTCAAAGACTTGTCATATTTTTGTGACTTTAATATAGTTGGTTGAATGTGGAAGACTCAAATACTCAACTCCTACATTTTTAGAGTTATATCATTATTTTTTAAAAAAAAAAATCTTTTATTCTAAACTTTCAATTTCATCAAACTACACCTTAAATTTTAAAAAATGTTGCAATGTTTACCTTAAACTTAAAAATGTGTTACAATAAATTATAAAACTTATTTGCAATATGAAATCGGTAGGATTTTCAAAAAAAAAAAAATATATATATATATATATATATATTATTTTTTTAGTAGGAAAGTCGTTCCATTGCTGATTTGTGCATTGATCAGATTTAATTTTGCACAAATAATGATTCCACACAATTGGGCCGTTGATTCTGGGCCAACGTTTTCTTCTCATCTCTTGTTCTGTTATTGTTGGGCCTCACTTGAAAGCCGAAACACACTAAATGAACCGCCGGATAACCCAACATAATGTACATAAAATAATACGAAAATAAAACTTTAAATAAATATTTGTAATTATAGCAAAAATTAACACACAAGTATATCAGTGGTTATATCTAGATTTAAATATTATTTTGGTCTTTATACTTTTATAACGTTAAATTTTTATCACTTTCAACTTTTGGTCTTTTTTTTTTGAAAAAGTATTTTGGTTAATTTTGTATAAAAAAAAATTATTTTTGGTTCATTTTAGTTCACGTAGTTTTAAAACGTCTATTTTGATCCATATACTCTTAAAAAATGACAATTTTGACCCCTTTATTTTTACCTTATTTTTTTCTAATTATAATTTTAGCACGACACTTCACTTATTGAAATTCTTATAGCAATAAATTTATATTAAAGAGTTTCGATTGTGTGTAAAATTTATGTTAGAAGTTTGTTAATATCGCGATTAAATTGGTCATTTTTTAAAAGTATAGTGACTAAATAGACATTTTAAAAGTATAAGAGTTGAAATGAAAATTAAAAAGTTAAAGTACATAGATCAAAATTAACTAAACTCAAACTAAAGTAATATTCAATTCTTTCTTAAATTATAGAAGTAAATTAGGGTATTGAATTTTTCATACAGAAAAGGTTGAAAATCTATATTCTATGGAAAAATTGCCCTTTTCAATCTCTAGGATTTAAGCGTTAAGTTTCAAATTTTGACATTTTAACTTGTTTTATCGTAATTAACTATTAGAGCTTGCAAGGGGCATAATTGAGTTTTCCAATTTATAACTTTTAATTGAATTAATATCAGAATGTTTATTAACTTTTTATTGATCTCAATATTAATACCGTACCCTACAATTTCTTAATTCCTTGGATTTGAAAACATTTTGTGTTAAATAATAATAGGTTGAAAAATTCCCTTTCTACAATATTGCACCCGAAAATAAAACTTTGAAAGTCGAATGGTTAATCGAATAAGACCTAAACAACCCTCGCAAATTAATAAAGCTGAAAACTTTAGATCGTCTGAGTTTAATAATAATTTTGACAGTCAAGATATAAAGTAACCTTCTACAAAGTTAAAAGGTCAAATTCTCTCGTCCCACCTATTGTTAAACTAAAAAATAATGCTCGAGGTTTTGATTTTATATTTTTAAAAATCATACTTATTTCATAATCATTTTTCTTCAACTTTAATTGGAATGAAAGATGAGCATATATCCTAAAGACTCATGGGAAAAAGAGAGATAAAACCCTAATCATAAAACAGATTTGGATATATCCCCTTTCAATAAGTGAACATATAAAGTTCCTGAAAAATTAATCGCATGGCAAGGACTTTAGGCTTTATAGTATCACGTCACCTAGCAATGAGGCCTTGAGTTCCAGCTATACACAAGTCTCATAGTGTTACTCAGCCCAAGCAACGAACTTCGAAGCTCCACAACATAAGTCACACGACATCGATTTTGAGAAATAAGAAAAGATCAGTGAACATGAAAGAGAAATTCAATTTTATTAAACTGGGATCTTCTTAGATCAGCTCAGAAAGTTCAGATCATATAACCTCAACTCTTTTTCCTCAATAAAATTCTCATAAAATTCTTCCTTTTTTCCCCCTTATATCTAAAAAAACCACAGATTTGAGGTGGTATGATCTGAACTGTCCAAACAGATCCCAAGACACCCAGAATTAAGACTGATGATATTAGAAACTGTCAAACCTCAAATAGTATCTAAACCCTAATTTAACCTCATGATCTCACTTCACAACCTTACCTTTTTTCTTGAAGGAAAAAAAAAAAGAAAACCCTAGAGTTGGATTTGAAAGAGAAGGGCAAAGTGGTAAAAGCAACCAAATCTACTGAGGATGATAAGAAGAAGGGAGAGTGCCCCAGAAAGTTGGGGACATGGGGTTGTAATCCTCAGTGTTGAACACATAGTTGCACTGCTGATCCGGTGGCGCTTGGTAGTGATTGGTTGTGGTCGCGGCCGCTGCTGCCACTGTTGCCACCGCTCTTGGCTTGCTCGAGCAGCCAGCTCCGACCGAGGTGCTTTCCACCGTCTCTTCGCCCGATAAGTCGGTGTACACGGTCGACACTTGGTTCCTTGCAGTTTGAAGCTCTCTCAGCATGCTCTTCAGCTTCATTACCTACAAGTAAAGGGTGGATCGGAGTCAGAAACTTTTAAGGGGCAAAAATTTTAAAATTTAATCGATTTAATCTTTCAATTCTGAAAATTTAGAGCGAGAAATCAGAGAAAATGATTTTAAGTATACGTTCTTAATATAAGTATATATTTTTAAACTACGGCGAATTAAGATGGGACAATTATATTATCCACTTTGTCTTGCAATCAAGAGCTGAAATTTGACTGTCAATATAAGCATAACTCAGCAATTAAGACATCTTATTTCTTTCTTAGAGGTTGGAGGTTCAATATCTCGTCCTCGCACTTGTTTAACTAATAACAAAGTTGACATTTGACTTTTTTTTTGAACAAAACAATCAAATGGATAGTATGGAACCCTAATTTCTTCGAAGGATTTGTTTCGCATTTAATTTTTATTTTCTCTGTCTCCAAAAGAATTTTTAAGACTTGTTTTGGGTGAGTAGTAAAAATAAAGATTATTGCACATTTGAAATCATATATATATGATATTAGATCAATTTTTTGTTAAGACTTATCGAAACTATTTTATTAGATATTGTTAAAACATACAAAACAGGAGATACCAGATGAAAGTACTCTAATTAACAAAAATGGAAGATGTATCATAATTAAAAAAAAAAACTTAAATTTAGATGATCATGACGAGGATAGAAGAATAAGATCATCCCAAAAACTTCAAACATTTAAAAAAAAATTAGAGAGATAATCACTCCATAAAAATAAACTAGAACAAAACATATTTAAAAAAATATTGTAGATGAAGGTCAAATAAACTCCAAGAGGAATAATGGTTGTATATAACAAGTAGTTTAAATCTAAACTATCACATAAACCTAATTTTGATCTTATAAAGTTTTAAAATGAATTATATTTAAAAAAGAATATCAGAATGATAGTAATTATTTATTTAGTGTGGTATTAATTATAAGTTGTAATATAATTCAATAATAACAATTCTAAATTTTAAAATTAAGGATAAATTTGATAGGGTATCACATCTCTCTTATAGTAGAAAAATGTTGAAAACAAAACTTCATTTTCTTCCATGAACCCTAATCTACCATTGAAAAGCTTTTTAAAATCTCAAGATTTGGAAATAAAAAATACATTAAGAAAAAAAAACAACTTTTATAAAATTAGTCATCCAAAAATCCAGAAAACAGTTTTTCAAACCCCAGTCCATAATTACAATTCACAAGAGAGAGAGAGAGAAATTTCAACAAACCCTAGGATGTCTAATGAAAACTTTAATTTGAGATCTTCACGAGATTTGGAAACAAAAAAAGATTCTTTATCAAAAAAAAAAAAATCAATTGTCTTCTATGAAACAAACAACTTGAAAATATGAACCCAAAATGTGAACATAAAAAAGAAGGCACTTCATAGATCAAGATATAAAGCAGAAGAAAACTTCTTTACCTCCTCTTGAAGCTTGTGTTTCTCTCTAGCAATGGCATCAAACTCCTGTTTGAGAGTGTCGTAGAGATGCTCGAGCTGCTTCGCCTTCCACCGTGCGCGGCGGTTCTGAAACCAAACGGCGATCTGGCGTGGCTGCAGACCGAGCTCCTTCGACAGCTTCTGCTTCCGGTCGGGATCGAGCTTGATCTCCTCCTGGAAGCTCCTCTCGAGCGACTCAAGCTGCTCGCTGCTCAGCCGCTTCTTCTTCTCCATATTGCCATAGCCATTCACGTCCATCCCTGGGACCAGCCCTTGCAGCACCGTCTCCGAGGCCCCCGCCATCCCCGAATTCTTCACATCTATTCCTGTTCAAGATTTTCACAATGACGGATAAAATTTTACCTTCTAACTCTTCGTGCATGTACGTATATATAATCTTTCAATTTTAAATAATTTAAGAGGACAAATTATAAAGACAAATTATAAAGAAAAAGTTTCGTAAGATCTTAGATTTTAGACATATCTAAGACCTAAAAAACCCTATCGTTATTTCTTCACTCCACCCTGCATGGATCTGCAGCAGAACCGAGTTCCAATACACGAAACCGTTCGAAAATGAACCGGTTTTGTTTCGGATCTTCGTGTTTCTGATCTGGGAAACCATGTATCTTAGGGTGTAATGTCAGTTACAAGTCAAAGTAACAGAAAACACAAGAAAGAAGAAAAGGCCTGAGAAGCCCTAAAAGAAGAACCCTAAAAAGAGATGTTGGAATATTACCCTGATACTGTTCCAAGTTATAGTTGTAGAGGAAGCCAAAGGAAGATTCCGGTGCTCGAGAAACAAACGGTCTGAAACTTCCGGTGGCCCACTCCATATCTTCCGGTCGCCGACCCCTTTTTCCGATCCGATCAAAGAACAACACAAAAAAGTGATCAGATTTGAGAAGGTGAAAAAATGGGAGTGTGGGTTTTGAGAGGGAAATGAACTACAAATAGAGAGAGAGAAGAGAGAGAGAAAATTAGGGCAGTTGAAAACTAGGGCTACAGCTGAGGGTAAGAGAGTCAGCAGAGTTGAAAAGTGTTCTATGCTTTGCTTATAATGTTCATATGACTTTTTTTTTCCTCTCTAAAATTTCTTTGCAATGTGTTTATTTTGTAGAGAGAGAGAGACAAAACTACAAAAACTACAACATATATATATAGTATGTAGAGACATAAATTTTAGTACTTGTGATGAAGCTGGCACAAAATTTTATACGCAAACTTGTCACAACTTGGAGACACATGAAAGGAGAGAGAAGAGAAGAAGAAAGAGGAAAATTATTGAATGATCGGCCGCTCCAACATGACTCGCTCAGTAATTGTTGGATGCAAATTTTAAATCTGTATATCTCATAATAATCCTCGAATACAAATTCAATGTTCTTTTCTTTTCTTTTTTTCTAATTTTTCTTTCATACATTCAACGATAATACGGTGAAAAAGCTATTCGTTCATATATATTTGCGTCTTCTAATAATTTCGAGAGAGAAACTATGAGGAAGAGTATTTGAGATGTATTTAATTAAGAGTATTTCTATGTAGTTTTAATTTAAGTATTAGGTGACAATTCAATTAAAACCAAGTAATTTCTATTATATATCCTAAACATGGGGTTTAATTAAACTCTTTATTATCTCAAAATTTTCTATGGTTGGACCATATAATTAATGTCATCTTCTAAGGGTAATAGTAATGTCTTCCTTTCCTCCAACATTTGGTATGCAAAAATGAAATGTGGTATTTATATGACAAAGTTTAATTTAAGCTTAATTAGTCCAAAAAATTAAATTCAAATCCCTCTACTCCCATTTGCTCTTGTCAAAAAGAAGAGGAAAAGAAAAAACAATTTGCATATTTGGTTTTAGAATAATATGATTCAAACTATAAAAAGAAATTATTATAAACTAAACTAACATAAAGTGAATGTATATTACAAAGTGAATGTATATTCTCCTCAAAAGATTATTTATTTATTTATTTATTATTATTATTATTATTTTGAGGCTAGAAGAATTTTAGTACAATCTCTATATCTATTATTTCCATCATCAAAAAGAAAAATTGACATATAACCTTACACTATAAGAAATTTATTCTTCAATTCAATAATTCAATAATGAGGCTAATAAAATTTTGATGAAAGAGAGAAATATAAATATGGAGAGATTGACGGGTTAAATCCATTTAATTAATTAAGGACATGAATGACTAATTTAATTTCAAATTTATTTAATTATTTCTTTAGGAAATTTATAACCTTTTTATTTGAGATAAATGTCTGCAACTATACGATTTCTTTAAAAATTTATTAAAAAATTCATAAACTTGATGCTATATATATATTTTTTAATAATTAATGCCAGTTACCCCACAAAAATGAAGAGGGAATATGATTAAGGGTAAGATTCAAACACGTAGCCTCCCTAAGATTGCTTGAATGTCGTACACTATAAAGTTGTATTTGATTAAGTAAATTCATAATCATAATTAATTAATAATGTCTCCCCGATTAAATCATTCCATTATTAGGTTTCTATTTTTGTTCAGAATATTATCTATAATCCAGAAATTAATGAAGTTGAAAATTATTTGACGAAATGAAATTTTTGGTTTTAATTATCTCAGTTTTATATTTGAACAAAAATAACAATATGCGATATATATCACATATTTTGTATTTCGTTGTTTATATAAATTTGAAAATGTACTTCAATAAATGTAATAATATATTATTATTATTATTATTTATCTTCAATTTTAGTTTACATATGATCACTATTGAAGTTAAGCTATTTGATAAAATTACTCTTAGTGGACCCAAAATTAATTAGCAAATCTCTTTGACTTTTTCCCCTCCAATTTCTTAGCATTTTTTTCCTTTACACCAATTAAACTTGTCTTGAAAATCTTGAAACCTATCACACAAAATCACCCCTTTTAAGACTAGAGGTCAAATTGATTTGGTAACTTGTTTAGTTTGATAATAATGGAGGAATTCAAAATCCTAATCAAGGTTGGGCCATAAGATCATTTAAAAAAATTATAAAATATGGATTCATTAGGTAATATTTGTGTTTCTTATTACCTATTATTTGTTGTGTTTTTTATCCTTATTTTCATTTTTTTAACTATTGATTTAACATAGCTTTAATCTCCATACTCCAAACCCTTTTTTTATTGTTGTAATAAAAAGTTATGTAATTCTTACCCTTTATTTTAAAAAATTATTTAATTGTTTTATTTTCATGTAAAAATAAAAGGGAATGTTAATGTGTAGAATCACAAGTCTAGAAAAGATTAAAGAGTAACACTATAATTGGGAAGACCAATAAATTTCTAATCCAAATATTCTTAGGAGTTGAAGCCTTCACTTTATTAGGTGTTGAATTCATTAACTCTTTTAATTGGTTAATGACCTAATTAGTGTGTCAATTAAATATAAATAAATAAATTTCTAAATTGGGTTTGGTTTCTAATAATGCTTGATTTGAATTATTTGTAAATAGAAATTTCCTAAATGATTTTGTATGACATAGGCATAATAATGCTTTTCTTCTATGTTTTCTAAAGGGTGCTGATCCAAAACTTGCTAAAAGAGGAAAATATGACATAAAGTTAATTAATCAAGCTTTGATTGCTATTGATAATTGAGCAAAATCATAATTAAGAGTTGAAAAAAAAAAGATTCCATTGAATTATTCCAATGCAATGGAGAAATTCTAATTGCAAAATTTTAAATCTATTTAAAGATAATTAAAATTTAAAATGATATAAAGCATATACTACAGCATTTTACAAAATAAAAATAATGATAAATTACATAGGCTTGGATGGTGTAGCTTTCTTTTTTTTTTTTAATAATTTCATATTTAGATTAAATAATAGCAAAAAAAGTGAACATATTTATATGGGCCAAAAAAAGATAAAAGAGTAACGTTCCTGAAAAAAACTAAAAGAAGGTTTTGAAAAATTAGATATATTTATTAGAAAGAAAGGGTAAAATTGAAGCCAATTGGTTGAAAAAAATAAAGAGAGTTGAATTTACATAAATATTGAGCTGGAGGATATGAGTGGTGTTTATGCATAAATAGTTAATTTTGGTAGAAATTGTGTTCAGGTGAGAGTTTTGAATTTTCATTCAAAGCTGAGTCTGCTATTTACTACAGAGAGAGAGCAATAACCTAATAATAGAGTTGCCAATTTATGTACTTTTTTTCAACGACTTTAATTTGATGAATTGATCAGAAATTGGATAAAAAGAAAAAAAAAAGATATATAGAGGGGATATATGGGTGATTGGGTAAAAGGCGGAAAAGAGTGGTTGGTAACGTTCATATTTTTTATTCTCGTTCTTTGTTTGTTGTTTTTCACAAAAAACTAGAAACAGAAACGTTACCWAATGTCTGACATAGACATTTTGAGATTGGACCTCTGACTTTTAGAAAATGAGCAAGGTTGCCTTTTCGGTTAGATCAAATTCATTTTGGCATAAATTATTAAAATTAAAATGGTAATTTAACCAATAATTTTTTTATACAAAGTTTATGGACTCATTAAAATAAAATATTTGAAAGCTTATAGATCAAACGAAAAGCGCATGAGTTAAACCGTTTGATATTACAATTTTTACGAAAATTCTTCTGGATCAAGAGCATGATTTGGACCTAATATTTAAGTTTTATTGGGTAATAAATTTAAATATTTGGACGAAAAAAATTAGATGAATATACAAAAAAAAAAAAGAATGAAATGACCACATAGATGAAGTTGCTTTAAATTAAGTAAATTTCACGAAATTATTTTAAATCCATCTTTATTTATGTTAGAACGAAAAAGATTTGAAGTAAATGTAATTTAAAAAAATTTGTTTGACGTTGGTTAAAAAGAAAAAGAAAATAAAATTATTAATATAAACCTTTAATCCTAATTTATTGATAAAAAATTGAAATACGATCAGGGTTAAATTAGTAATTGTCCTAGAAAATTCAACCATATTTAAAGTAAAAACAATAGAAAACTCTAGCAAAATGGAAACTTTCCCAGAAAAAAACATAGGATTAGTGATTAATGTAAGTGTATGTATATATATATATATTTCCTTATGAGAAAGAGTGATTAATGTAAGTATGAATGTATAATTCGAAGGTTTAAATTTTCATAATATTAAAAACAAAACATAAAAGTAATGTTTTGAAAATATTTTAATATTAGAAAGTACTTATTTCGAAAGGGATCATGATACATCATAAATGAATGAAAATTTTTGCAATGATCCGATGTTACAATTTCAATTAGGTATATTTTGTCTAAATTATATTTTACCTTTTGTTTCCAAACAAAGCAAACAAAATAATATTTAAAAGTGACGGTGTTATAGGTAGTTTTGGGATGTGGCATGTACCACTCTATGAAAACATATGTTTGAGTCTCAACTCCATCATATTAAAAACGAAGTCGAACTGGAAATAGAAGTCCACTTGAAAAACAGGCCAGCTTGACCCTCAATTTGAGAATAGGAGATGTCACCTACAGAAAATTTAGTGACGTTAGATACATGCATTAGGGAGTTTAATCTCATGCACCTTCCAAAATTCCTCTAAAAAAARTGAAACAAAAAAGTGGAGTCCCACCTTTCCAAACATACACAATCTAAATAAATTCGATTCGACACCAGTTCAGATTAAGTTATAACTTCAACTTTAAAGTGTATGTGRCCGAACACCACATCAGTACAAGATTCTATATATAGGTATCCAACTCGATTGACCAGACACCTACCTTAGATTTGAAGCTGGCGTGTCACCTCATTCGAAACGTGTATTAAGAAAAAAATTAACTATATCCGTAAATTGTTTTTTGTTATAATCTGACCACCTAGCACCCGCCAATATAATAATTATATAAATTTTGATTAAGCTGATTTGATACAACAAATAATCAGATAAAAATTAATAAAATATCTTACGTCTTAATGTTAATAGCCCAATGATAAGTGAAATACAATCAAAATATTAAATTTTTTTAAATTTAATGAGAT